TGTTCCATTTTTGAGAGAAAACTTTTCGCTTATTCTCTAATTACCGGATCCGGTCCGGATTGTTATGGAAAGAACTTTTTATGAACGATGTATCGATTTTTCAAATCCATTGATGTATCGTGTGCAACCCTAAATACAATTCCGGAAATTGCTTATTGTGAATCATTAATGAGCAAAAAGAAGAAAAACAAACGTCAACAGCTTTGTTTCTTAACAGATAATAGCTGCATTTTTTTGTAAGCGAGCGACAAAAGAAAAAATTATCACTAATTTCTGCTAGAAAACGTTCCTCACGCGCTTATTTTTTTCTCCTAATTTCTGCTTCCTCTTCTCTTACTAATTTCTGCTAGTAAAATTTTTAAATAATTTTTTTAACTGGGAATTGTCGATTCGTGTTATTTTTGCACGTTTAGCATATACATATGTACAGATTATTGAAAGGACCGCTTAAGAACTCGAAAAAGAAACATCTATACAAGAGATAAAATAATTTCACTTTCTGGAATAAAATATCCCACCAGGTTTTTCAGGAAAAGCTGTTTTCGCCATTAATGGACACTATGTCGTACAGGAACAGTTTCCTGTAAAATCCTGAAGTACCTGGAATAAGTGGAACAAGTTTGACAGGATATTCGTTTCTTGGTAAGAAGAAGTAAGTCTGCACGATGTACAACATCGCGTTTAAACCTGACCAGATCTGTTCCGATTGGTACATCTTTTTATTAAAGCAATACAACAACCCAGCCGAAATTCCGCTTCACAAAACCCTAATTTTGCCATTCTCTTATCGTTCGTTCGTCGGCTGTCGTAGTTTTCTTGGTCTCCCTATTCACAAACTTCCTGTCAAAACTGTAGTCAACAAGTTTGACAGGATATTCGTTCTTGGTAAGAAGAAGTAAGTCTGCACGATGTACAACATCGCGTTCTTGCGTGATCTTGTATTTTTGGTTCATGACGGAAACCCGATATACTGCACACCTCCGAAAAATAAAGCAGATTGCGTCTGTGTGACATACCCACCTAAATTGTGAATGGCTACTTTATCCAATACACATACCATTAAAAATGGCGTAAAATGGCGTTTCGTTCAATCTCCGTCAAGTAGCCATATTGGTTCATGTTTTCGGAAAATACCAAACGACGAGTAATTTTTTCGTTTTCTCTGCATTTTCGTAGGATTCATTTTCAGCGGTTGCAGTAAGTGGCAAAAGCAGATTAAAATAAATTTGCCACAAAAATAAATGTTGTAAACATTTTTCATTCGAATTTTGACGTTTTGTAACGCGAGGCCGTTAAGATTTATCAACTATCATAAACCAATAGAGCACACGAGAAATAAGTGAAAAAAAGTAAATGAAAAAATGTTAAATATGTATATAATTGGTTAAGTTGGTTTTATTAATAGCATTATTGTACATGGTTGAAAGTGTAGATAAATTGTGAGACTAGTTTTCCGGACACATTAATACAAGGACTACTACTATGGCCATCGAAATATCTAAAAGGTGCCTGCATTGCAGTACAGTTTCTCATACTTGTTAAATACGCCGATTTAGTTGAGTACTGTGATGGCAATGTTGGAATGTTTGTGACACGCTCGTGGGGTGCGGAGCATCTTAACGAATTTTTGTTGTGCTTTTGGTTGAACTTTACTTGCGCCTATCAGTTTAAAAGCTAACCCAGTTCTTTGACTCGATTTTGTGAAACAATCTTAGGGACTAAAATCTGTTTTATAAGAATGTTTAATATAAGTGTACAACGATAATGTGCATTGTTTATTTGGTAACTCATTTTTTCTGCATTTGCAGTTGTAAATAACTTGGTTCCTCTATCGAAATTGCCAACAGAATGGGGGAAATCAAATCCGTAAAAGTAGACAACTGGGGAGTCTTCTTCCTCCAGAAACTGCAAAACTTCTTTAATAAGACGGACTATTGTGACCTCACACTACAGTTTCGGGATAACTCGCAGTTGAAGGTACATCGTCTAGTATTGAGCGCTTGTACTGATTTCTTCAACGTGTTGGAGCAAACTTGCGAAATGGTGGACGATGCCCTCATCATGCCCAATGAGCTGCAAGCCGATGTTGTAGTACCCATCGTAAACTTCATGTACACTGGGACATTGGAATTCGAATTAAAAATGTATGGCAAGCTGCTACGCACGGCTAAGGATATGAACATGACTGTTCTGTTAAAATTGCTCGAAGCACATCGCCGTACAATGGAGGGTGTAAATCGCTTACAGCGGGTGAGTAAAAAGTATTGTTTTGCTTTTATTTCAAAACAATAAAAAATTCTCTATCCATAGCCACCTAGCCCAAAACCATTACGTCGGCGTGTTCCTGCTGCAACAAGCTTGCCTCAACAGCAACCAACCGTTCAACAACATCGCGTACAAACATCACCAAACAGTGTTTCTGGATTGCAGCGTCCCATCGTTCAAACAAAAACCATAAGTACAAGTTCATCTACTACTATGAATTTGCCACAACAAACTCAATACAGGCAACAGATAGGATCAACATCTCTAATAAGAACAATGCGTGCCAGTAATACCAATAATATGCAAGGTCGTACACAATACGTCAATCAGCCTGCACATGAAAGTCATGAAACTATTATAAAACAAGAGCCAGAAGAAATAACCCCCCCATCACCTTTTGAACAGCTTCGCAAAGGTTACAATAACAACAAGCGTCCAGCCAATAATGCTTTGGTATCACCGCCAGCTAAGAAGCTTAATATTGAAGACGTTAAAGAGTTTGCTGAGCAGCAACGTATGAGAAAACAAATTGCCGCAGAATATGGCGACGATCAGGGCGAATACGAGAACAGCATGATGGAGGATGACATACACAATGATGATGATGATGACGATTTGGCCACCACATCGGCCACTGCAAGTACCATAGCAGGTATGCAAGCATCCACATCGCGACAAACACAGCTGCA